AAAGACAATAAGATCAAACGTGCGGTCCAACTACGTACATGCTTTGCAGTTTTAATCTGTATTGCTTCACACTTCCTGAAGAAAAGGTTGTCACCCACACATAGCCTCACTCGCAATTCTCATGTTTACAATGATGAAGCCAATCTGTCCTGCATAATAGTGACGAATACTACATAATATATTAGAAACGGAGCATGCAGCTATGTTAAACTTTACAACATTCGTCTATTAACATTGTTAGCAGCCCACCATATAGACTGTCAGCATGTTCGCGCGCCATAAAAAAACAGATAAGCCCCTGCCTACACAAGTAGGAAGCAATGGAGACATAGCAAACCAAATATAAGCATGCCACTACTACTACTCAAAAATACTGGTGATAATCACTTGTCGTTCTCCTGCTATCCCGATCTTCGCTGTTTCCTCCTTCATCTCTCCTCTCACCTCTTCTCTCTCGCTCTCCCTCGCTCCTTTCATTTCTCTCTCTCTCTCGTCTTCTCTCTCAAATCTCTCTCCTCTTCTTCTCTCTCTCTCTCTCTCTATCTTTCTCTCTGCTCTTCTCTCTCTCTCTCTCTCCTCCTCAGCCTCTAGTCTGCTCTCTCTCTTCTTCCTCTCACTCTCTTCTATCTCTCTTCTCTCTTTTTCCTCCTCTTTCACCCTCTTTCTCTCTCTCTCTCTCTCTTCTCTCTCTCTCTCTCTCTCGCCCTGCCCTCTCTCTCGTTTCTCACTCTCTGCGCCTCTCTTTCTCCGCTCTGCTCTCGTCTCTCTCTCTCCGTCTTATCTCCTCGTCGCTTCTCATCCTGTCTCTCTTTTTTCTCTACTCTCTCCGTCTCTATCGTCGTCGTCAGCTCTTCTCCTCTTCTCTCTCTCTCTCTCTCTCTTCCTCTCTCTCTCTCTCTCTCCCTCTCTTTCTCGTCTCTCCCTCTCTAAGTGCAGTCTCTCTATCTCCCCACTCTTTTCTCATAGCGCTACACTCTACAGTGAAAATTAACAGCTCACTCCTGGGGACGCATGAATCCAACTTCTGCGACTCATAGTGTCTTCTGTGTGAATGCGAAGGTCACGGCGATCGCCGACTCTGACCTGACCTCAGAGGATCGGCGCGTTTGCTATCACGACCTTGTAGCGTCATAGGCGGAATCGAACCCATGGCCTTCAGGCGGTGCAAAGATGTCTCCTGGGGCTGCCATTAGGAACTAGCGCTGATTATGTGCAGCAGGCCCACTTCATTCATTATTAACTTGTATTCACACACACATTAACAGTTCTTCTATCATTTGCTTTCTGAAATTACGCTGCAATTAGACCTTTGATGTTAATCCTGCCGTCTATTATTGTTTGCTGTTGTTTAATGTGAAAGAACTCGTAGTAAATTTTCGTCAGATATGGTTAAAACCAAGTGACACATGAATTACTCCACATGTCCAGAAACTACCCTATCCCTGTATGCCTCTGGTCTCGAGTCCTCAGACCGTGAACCATTTCATTCATCACATAAGCATACATATACTATACATATAAATACGGTTGCGATCCTTTCGATAATTTCAATAAACAGTTTCTTCACTCTCCATGCTAAGTTTGGCTGACCGGTATAATTGACCCATAGCTGGTTCTATGATATGAGGGACAATCACATCACATCTCATCCGTTATTCCCAAATTATTAGCAGATATTATATTGCTCAGTTTGGCTACAATAACTTCTTCTTTCATCTAAGTGATCTTTACCTAGTGTGACGCGTATCTGACCGACTAATTGACAGTTAGCTCTACCCATCGTGTGTACTCACTAGATGCTTCTAAAGATCAACTTGATCAGTCAAAGTGCAAACAGTCAACATTTGCATCCACAATGACAGATATAAACGAAAACTCAATCAAGCTTAACATGCCCTAACTACAATATCAAAAGGAGGCAAGTTATCTCCTAGATGTACTTATTGTTTTCGTGAGCGCAAGATTTATCTCGCTATTTCATTCAAATCGAGATGACTGCAAGCTGTGAGAATATAGGGTATTTGGACACTGCATACTGCTATATGTTGTTATATGCCAGAAAACAGAAACTCGTAAACAAGACAAGAGCACAGAGGTCTGGGATCATCTGAGCGTCTGTTGCTAACGTTATAGAACGTAAAGATTTAGTTGTGCGTAGTGAACCTTTGTTTAGGCGCAGATATTCAGATACGCTATTTGCGTACACATCATTTCAGCACCCTTCGTGCATTCTGCATAAACTCCAAATCCGCATTGGTTATACAAATCGCGTTGCCTGAAATACATGTGTCATGGTGCACATTGTGACCGCTACCCTATTACAAACAAAAACAAAAAAGGTATGCCATGTGATTAGTGACGCGAATAACTCAAGAACGTACACATTTGCGTCTATAATTGGTGCTCAAAATTTGACGTGAGAAACTTTAAGTCTGGGAAGTCCACAGCCTTCTCTCCTGGAGTAATTATTAGAGTGCTAGTGAATATCCAATCTATTCATAATGGTAACTACAGAATCTCATATAATAACTCATCTCATTATTCTGCCTAAGCTAACATTCGTTCAAGTAAATTTTGTGTGACTTCTCACTGTAAAGGGAGTGTTCCACAACCACAGTACTCGCCACCGAGAGTTGAAACAATCATGTTTACACCCTCCTACCGTCTGCATAGAGCGCGTCCACTGTAGCCTATATTAACGCAGGCACAAACTACCCATACTATCATCATCCACATGCATGGCACGTGGCCACTGGCAGTGGCATATTAACCACTGACAGTCAGAATGCCATAGAAATTAATACGATCTTAGCAGCATACGTCTTCAACAAATTTAGCTTTTGAAATTTCACTGTGACATTGTAGCCTCATACATCACAGGCATGTATACTTCTACTAGCAAACCCAGCAGTCAATTCTTTCTATACACAGTAACATTAACAATATCATGTTTAAATCCTCCTCTTGAGGTCAAAAGGCTTATCAACACTTACTCTTTCGCACGTCAAGTGAAAGCCATTTCATGGGTCCTTCAATAAAGCCATGAAAAATGGGTAGTCTGCGCTGAACAAAAAATTTGTTGAATTGCTCTCAGACTGTCCTCAGAAATGTCTAAAATCTGCCGCTAGCATTGATCCTTTGACCTGGACCTTCATTTTCGGTCACGTAGATGCTTGTCCTACATGATGCTTATTCACCGACTAGTCACAAACCTAGGTCGAGCCGTTTAGATTTGTGCGGCATTCTGCAATTCTTTCCTCCTATACCTTAAGTTTAAGGATGAATGTTCCTCCCTTATTTTCACCTCTATGACTTTGCCCTTTGACCCCAGCTCGACATCCAAACTCGTTTTCGGATTACCCCGCCCTCACGTCCCGAATATCGTGACGTCACGTCGAGCGGTTAAGATTGTGGGCCGCAACTTTACGACGGACGTACGCACGGACGGGACGATCATGCCATTCTACAAAGCCTGCATTGACATTTCAGAGTATGCTAATAAATACAAGATGTTGAGAATACTGCGTGCAGAGTTCTTGCGTTTAGAAAACAGTACTTGTCTTAATAATAGCAGTATCATCTAAGTTAAATATTGACAAACTAAATAAATTACAAGTAGGATAAGTCTGGCAGTCAAACAACATACCAGGAGAATTTCTTCACGACTCATGTCAAAGACGGTCTTCATTTGTGCAATACACATCTCGGGGTCTGCATTTTTTAAGTCAATTTTGTTTAAGACAGGAATGACTGTAAGCTCCGAATCAAATGCCAAGAAGAAGTTAGCGACAGTCTGTGCTTGTACTCCCTGTAAAGAATAAACAATTTGGCACATAACATGCAGGACACATTCATAACATTTGTGGCGATTAAACAATTATGAATCCAAGTGGCCGTATTTTCTTTCCAGTTCCCATATGATTATTTTCTAAGTGTTTGTGTGTTGTTGTGTATTGACAGAATGAAAAAAACTTGGTATTTATTATTTATACACTTTATATATTATTACTTTAAGTATTTATGACTTACCTGATTGGCATCAACTAGGAGTAGAGCTCCCTGGCAAGCTGACAAAGATCGTGAAACTTCATAGTTGAAATCTACATGACCCTGTTGAAACACATGCACATCACTTGTTATTATTACTTAGGTTAGGGCCTTATAATGTGTGTCAGGTAGATGATAAAAAAAGTGAATTTAACTTAAAGGTCAGGGTTACAGGGAAAAGGTTTTTTGAAAACAGTTTTGAGAGCGTGACTGTATGGTGGGTACAACATAATAAATGTAAGACATCCGATTGCAGCTCATGTATTCATAATTTGGATCTAAAACGTTTTTTGATCCACAAATGAAACACAAAGTTCACAATAAAATTCAAACTATAAATGATTAGGCCATCCTTAAAAAATTATATGTTTGCTGTCCCTAGACCCATGATTTTTTTAGTGGGTAGGTAGGTAGGTCATTTTTTTGTGAGGCATAATAGTAAAAAAAAAAAATAATAATATAGAA